AAAAAAGAAAGAGAAAGTAGAGAATCCTATAAAATTCTTTTCTTGATTGTAACCCTTAAATGTGTCTGATTAGTAATACTGGGGGGAAGGGGGAAATGTGATTACATATTTACATACTGTAGTGTACTGTTTGAGTGAAGCTTTGTTTTCTACATTTTGAGTCCTTGACTTTATAACTTTAATAACTATTTATAATTGAAAACAATTTTGTATTTCATAAAACAAGCCAACAAGGTAAGTTCTATTATACAGCATCACAAAAAGGCATGGAATCACATCAGAAAGTTTTAGTCTACCATGAGAAATTCTGATTTGCTAAATATCAAGTGAGACAGCTGAATGCTGTTGTCCACACTCATCCTGGTCCCATCCCTTCTATATCAATAATTTTTTGTCTAGGCAGCCCTAAACCACATACTTCACCTTTCTTATCACAGGCTCAATGTTATTATGACCTCTCATTTAGTTTTCTTTGTTTTTCATCTCCTTCTGTCTATCCTTATTGGATCATAATTCCATCCTTCTTAACCACGCACTCTCTCCTTCCCACTTTTCCTGGTTTTCAAGAGCTTTTGTCTGGTCAGCTCCCAGTTTGCTCACAGCTCCTGATAATGGCCTCTTATGTCATTCAGTGCTGATCCCAAGCACACCCTACACTCCTGGCAGAAGATTCTCTTCAAACTGTCCCAATCTCTGTAGCCTAATGAAGAGCATAGAAAATCACTACCCTGTAAAGGCTTTAAGCTGCTTGGTTTGTGTTCTGAGATGAATGTAGCCAGTACAAAACATAATCTTTGCTTTAGGGCAAAATTCCTCAATCATGGAACCACATATAAATCCAGAAAGAACTGCAGGTTACAACTTGGCCAGCTCTGGATGGATTTTCATAGGAGTGGCAAAAGGCACATCTCTAGCACAAAGGTTGCCCTGTATCAAATTTCAAAATATGCCCTAAGGAACTGGCAGATAATATATATATTACTGGGCAGCATTTTTTTTTTTAATTCAGTCAAACAAAACACCTAATTTTCTGCTCATTTCTCTCTTAAAAAGAAAAAAACCTAAAAATCCCACACCCTTAGCTGCCACAAAATCCTTCCCAGAACCTTTTAATTGGTCGGGACTTTTGAAGTTAAGGGATAATGCAGCTGTAATCAGCAGGTCTTCAAAGGATAGAAACAATTAAGGGAGGTGTGGATGCCCCCAAAGAAATAATTTATGATGTGATGTCAGTACAGTATCTGGCATCATGAACCAGATGCACGCAGCATTAACATGACTGATGATGATTCTTCAATGCTATCCATGGTAGAATTCCTGCATGGGACTGACAAAAAAGAAGGAATCTCACATTTCCTCCAAGACACTTTCTGTTGCAACATCCATCCTACTCAAGCAAGAGATGGGATTAGGCTGCCTTGATAGAAGCGAATGTGTCTGAATCTGACTCCTCGCACCACACTGGATCCTACTCATGCCTTTTTAAGTTATTGTGATTGTTCAGTTGTTCACTGAGACAAAAAGTAATCACTATCAAAATTCAGGTAGTGACATTTCAAAAGCATTATTAACTGAAGTGCACATTCTGAAACAGAAGTTACTTGGTGTATAATAACATTGTGTGATAGCTTTGCCCCCACAGGTAGAATAGTGGTCAACAATTTGCAGTTGTCTCGAGCAAAATCATATTTCACTATTCAAATTTTTGAATAGTGAAATATTTTTGAAAACCCCTTTTTCTGTACAAGACATAACAGTTCTTTGAAAGGTCCATCAGTAACCAAAATTGTTTCAAGACTGATTTGAAATCCCTCCAACAACCTACAGACTTCCCCTTCCCTTCCACTCCCTCCACTGCCTTGGTTCTATATAGATTCATACAACGGTCTCACCAAAAAGACTTTAAAAAAAGTGAACCAACTCACTTGGTACAACAAACAGGGGAAGCATAATATAATTGCAGGACCCATCACTACATTTTTCAGGATTTATTGCTGACACTGATTGTGCTGAGGGCTACCTTTTTTATGTGAAATACTGCAAATATGCTATTTCAGTGTTTATGGTGACACATAAAGGCATCAGGACTATAGTCATGAATAGTATATGCTGTTCTCTAGTATATTTCCCAGTGTACTGCTGTTTAATAGTAATAAAGGTCCTTACTAAAACAATGGTATTCTATAGTTTTCCTCTCTCTTCCCATCCAATTAAAGCATATTTTAAATAAATACAGAAAAAGAGGTAGACTGCAGTCCACTTTTCAAACAAGAAGTCTGTTCTCTAAGGTGACAATCTGATCCTAGAAAGCAGTGTGAAATGAAGCTAGTGTCTCTAAAAATATATTACTTTTCAAGTTACTTGATACCTTCACTCTCCCAGAGAAAATTTCCTGTCCTGGCTGATGGCCAAAGAGATTATATAGTAAGAGGCATATCCTTTTGCTTTTCATTATTTAGGCAATATTTCATACTATTACAATGTAATCAAAATACTTCCTTTCTAGCCAATATTTGGCTCTAATACAGATCAACATTTTTTCCATTGGTATTTTTAAGTAGCTGCTCTGAAGAATAACATCATTGAATCTCAGCATTTCTTTGTTTTGCCTTCCTGCTGTGATAAATATGAAAAATATTCTGATAGATCTATGATGACTACTCTCAAAGGGTTCTCAGGTTATAAGGTTTCATGAAACACAAAATTAGAAAAGTGAAAGGGATTCAAATATTAACTGAAAGGATAGGTTTATTTCTCTCAACCCAAAATAGACATACCAGAAGAGGCATTTATGGAAATAATATAACCACATGTTAAAACATTGAGATCCATTTAAAAAACTTGCAACAATTATTTGCCAATTGTTTTTCTCAAGTTCCTCTCCTGATTTCTATGCAAAAGTAACCAAAAAAGAAGAGTTTTATTTTCAAAGCAAGGCAAGAGAATCTCTACAGAACTTGCTGCTCTTACTGAAGTTACACAATGCGTCTCCAATTTGCCTCACTGAAAGAAAGGGGGATTTTCATCATCACGTAGCCAATGGAGAGGTTTGCATGAGAGACACAGTGTATTGTGAAAGCATAGTAAACTATCATCTTTGATTCTGAAATTAATGTCTGCTTGTATGTATGGAACAGATTCCAGCAGGTATATGCAGATTGGCTAACAAGGAGCAGAATAAAGGCACAAGGAGTTCTGAACTCTAATGGTAGCTCTGGAATGGGACATGATGCTCCGGTTACAACCACCACAGCAAAGTACAGCCTTGTCATACTCATTCGCTGCAACAGAGTAACTTCATGGAAGTCTATACCACAGAGGTGGCTATAGTTGGGGTGCAGTAGAGCTACAAAAGTGCAGTAAAATTTAAATCCCATGAAAACTGCAACGACTCCACATTAGGGATTAGGCGAAAAGTAGTAATAATAATAATAATAATAGTAATCATATTTGTTGCACGCACTAAGCTTCATCCAGTAAACTATGTCTTATGCTTACATCCCTGAATGATACTTGCCTTTCTTGCATCTTGGGATATCTTTGTGCTCTTTGTGAAGAGTGAGTAGCCAAGGAATCTCATGAGGTCTGTTGTGCTACAAATTTCTTTAGTTTTGTAACCTGGTTAAATCAGATAGAAGGCAAAGTTCTTTTCTGTTGACTAGCTTGTCCTACCTTTCAGTTATCTCTCACTGATGCCCATGTTTAATTACAAGAGTTCAGGACTTGAGAAATAAGTGCAAAGTACATTAATCTGTCAGACTCTCGAAATCAGTCTCCTACTATCCTGTTCAGTGCACTGCCTTTATGATAAAGGATATTTTGAAATTGGAACTGATCTGCTTAGAAGTAAGAGCAGACTGCTAGAATACTGGAATAACAGTCAGAAGCCTTTCTGTGTCTGGCTTGCTCCCATTAAACACTGACGGGCTACAAAATCAACTTAACATGCAACTTCCTCTTGCTTTACTTAAGTAACAAATGAGAACTGGACACTTGCAAGCCATTTCAAAATAGGACTGCAGACTTATTGTCTAAACAAGTCCCTTTGCAACTGAGTCTTCTTCTACATATTGTACTTTTCTATTTATTCAAGACCTTGGGTTTAAGTGAACTCTTTAGTACAAGTACTTGCATTACAGGCAGTACTAAAATAGTGATCTTTCCTCTTCTCCCCGCTAACCTCTGAATAATTAGCAATCTCAAGAATAAAATATTCCCAGAGCTATTATGTAGAAGCACTGCATTTGTCAGAAAATTTATCTCCCTCCAGCCTAAGTGATCAATCTGAAAGATCTTGTCATTTCATTCTTCAGGAAGCCAAGAAAAGGTTTAGCTTTGTTCTATAGGATTCACTAAATAAACCTAACAGAATAACTAATGTAATTGATCTTATAGCTGAAGCTATCCTGCTTCAGCTTATGCAAGAAAGCTTAATTTTAGAACATCATCAGATGCCTGCAATATTTTAGAAGCCTCAGATATTCTCCTCCTCCCTTTCCCTTTAGCCCACAACGCAAGGTTTTTTTGGGAGTCAAGATGAAATATGCCAGATTGAATATTTGATACTGTGTGTTAAACAGTTTTTAAAAAAACATGGTAGTTCTTTAAACTGCCTCACAGGACTTCAAAGATGACAATCTAGCTCGCAGTTAGTCATACATTTTGTTTTGCAGACATAATGCTTCAAATAATACTGGTGATATGCTAATCACAATATGAAACTACAGTCACTGCAATAAATGTGAAAAATGACTACTTAAAGACTACAGAAACATCTAGTCTTAAAACTGAATACATAGTATCTTCTCAAAATTTATCAGAAATGTGCCCAAGATTGTCAAACACTATTACTTTATCTTAATTTCCAGCATGTTTGTTTCAGCAATCTTCAATATGCCATGCAATTTTCTCCATTTTTTTTTTAATTTTAATTAAAGTAAGGAAAAGCAAAGAAAAGTTTTTTATGGCAAAATCAGTGAATTCCCCTCAGATTGACAGTCATGTGTCTTCTTCCTGAGAAGATTATGTTAGTCCTTGATACACTGCAAAACAAAGAAACCAACAAAGTAAGTCCACATTTTAAATAGCTTACTGTGCCTCTAAACAAAGCTGCAAATAACGATTTTATATCAAAGATTCTATCTTTGTGTTCAAAAGTTAACTCATCACTCACCCTTCTAGTTCAGATAACAGGTATTAAGAATTATAATTATGTTTTTCAAGACTTGAATGCTGTGTTTTCATCTTAGGGATGCACTTAATACACATGGAATGGGTGACGGAACGGTGTTTAAAAAACACCACCAGCTCCCACACTCCAGTATCTTTGAGATTTGATTTGACATATTCAAAGTTTTTGATGCTTCCATTCTTAATGTCCACTTGAATCTTTTAATCTTTACTGATTTTTAATTCTGACATGGATTTACTCACTGAGTTTTTTTAATGACCAATGTTCTGTTCAAAGAATCTATTATTAGATACCTCCTATATGATCAACTATTTTAAGGGAGATTACATAACTAGCTAGATGGCTTCAGTTTTGAGTACAGAGAAAGGTACTAAGAAACAGTTTTTGTGCTGTTCACTAAATGTAGATGAGCAAACAAGAAAATAGAACAAATATAATATGGAAGGCAAAATTTAAATTGTATGGAATTATTCCCTGCGCACTACTCACCAAACAGTAGTCCAGAAAGGATTCAAAGGTCGATAACTTACTTAGCAATTAAAAGAAACAGAGTTATTCTAAAGAAAAACTGAACTGAAATTTAATGAAGACTTAACAGATTTCACCTTTTAAGAACTTCAGATTGAGGGCAGACATGTTCTATTTGTGAGAAGAAAAATCAGCATCACTCTGTGGAAGTGGAGGACATCCTAATTTAGATGCAACTAAATGTAGTAGCTTAGCTGAGGTGGTTAAAAAGGAAAAAAAAAGTCAGCAAGAGGCTAAAGGAGTGGTACAACTGGTCAAAACTCCTAATTATATTCTAATGGGCATATACGTACATAGGTAAAATACCTTGCAACACATAGAGGAGCTTCCTTGTCCTAACTGACACACCTGCAGCTGAGTTTCCATGGCCTGCTTTGATTTCCAAATTATATTTGAAAACTAGACCTAATCTGGGGAAAAAAACCCCCTAGGTTTAGACTCTGGGTCGTATGCATGAGTGGAACTGTCTTATGCTGTGAAAGAGAAAACTTTCCGAATAAATAAAGGAAAAATTAGGAAGAGGTGAAGACTCTTCATTGGTAGACAGACGAAAGGGGTTATGAAATCACTTTATTTTTTTAGAGATACTTGTTCTGAGAAAAAGAAATGTCACTAAAACCAACTTACAGAACAATGTTTTTTGCCTTTGGCTTGTTTCTCAAAACTCTTGCTGACTGGAAAAGCAATCTTCGTAGAACACCATGTAAACTGGGTGTAAACTTTAACTTAAGAGAGGACTTCTGTTTCTAGACTAGTATGCTTTTTTTTGCCCCATGCTTCTTGTAGGTGTATAAACACTATTACAACTGCTGGTTTCATTGCTGGTGCAGGATAAGGGGAATTGACAAGGCACTGTACAAACCAGAGTCAAGAATAGATTTGCCCAGCAAATCAATGTTGCAGTTGGAAAACAGATGTACTCAAGTTCATGGGAGATTCATAACATGTACTATGAAAATTAACTGAGCGTGGGCCTCTCCTGAAAAACAGACTTGAATTTTATTTTCACAAAAATTAGTATAAATTCTCTTACGCTTACTTGAAAATAGAGAACCAATAGTCTAGATTGAATAACTTGCTATGGGAGAAAAATTCACATTTTAGATCAAAAAGAACTTCAGTTTTGCTACTAAGATATTCAAGGCAAAGAAGGGAATTAAGAACACAAAGAAGATTTTTGGCAAGCGTGCTTTTTGTAGATTTCCTATTTCTTAGGGTGTGATCCCCTGTCATTTTAGATATTCATTCTATAACTTAAATATTAATCCACTCCTAGGTAACCTTCATTTTACAATAACAATATAAAAATACATGACTAAAAATAACACCCCCCTTCAACCCAACTGTCACATCTCTTTTCCACAAAAATGTGAGGAACCGAGATTTTTTCCAAAAGTTACCTGAAATACCAAATGAGAGCTTTTTTTTTTGCTATTATGTAAAGGCAGGAGGAACTAAAGGACTGAAAAAACAATATTTTCCTGGTTATTCTCTTTGCTCTATCATGTGCAGGGTTGTCTTAACAATGCATTTGTACAACAAAACCAGATAAACAACTGGACCTGAGTAGTAAATTTTCATGCTCCTGAAGAACTTCATTAGCTGCAATAAAAATTTTCATTTGCACCCTAAACCCCATAGAATTGCTCTAAGTTCTGAATTAAGCATGAAGAAATCCATCCAAATTCTTTCTAAACTGAGAGAATATTAGAACACACAGTGATGCACTTTCCAAATGGTCTAAAGTTTACATTTGCATATAATACATTACAATACTCTTTCTGGAAGCAGAAAAATTATGGAGAGCATTACATGCATTCAATCTAGAGATGTTTTTTGGGGCAGCAATATTCACTTTCATGTCAACATTTAACTTCTTCCCTGTTCCCTATTTAGAAATCAGATTACAGGTGACCAAGTTAAACTTGGAGAGTGCCAGAACAAGAGGAAAAGTGAATAGCTGTCATATCACGAATAAATAAGAGTACAGCAAATCAGACTCACCCTTGGGATCATCACTGCCACAGATGCACATGCTGTGTATTTGTTGCAGTTTGAAATATCTAGACACTACTTCATGTAGAAACCTTAAAATATATAATATCAAGCAAATTATCCACACTTGTAATAGGGGCTGCATACAGAAACTTGTAGTCAGTCAAACTGCACTACACAAAATCAGCAGAGTAGACTATACAGTTAATTCAAGCAATACTCAATTAATTCAATCTGTGTTTGAAATGCAATATATTAAAGTGCAGTCAAACTTTATACTGAAGGTTGATGCAGTAGAGACAGCTTTCAAATAGGCAGGAGGCAGAATTGCTTTGAATTGTGATGACTACATTCAGCTAAAGACTATCTATCCAGAAATATTAATCCAGGAAAATTTTAATATTGCATCTTGTTTCTCAATTCAAAGCATCTAGTTTCTATCCTCTTGTAATACAACTAAAAAACAGTCCTTCTGAGGACAAAAGTTGTGAAGGAATATAATATATAAGGACTGCTATAACTATTAAACTAGGAAGGCCTTAATTGAACGCTGGTTTCTGCATCAGTTTACATAGGAATTTCCTGTGGGTTTTATGCCAGTCCTGGGCTCTGGTGTGACTTTGGCTGTAATATCGCGCTACATAAGGTCACATGCATCTAATTTTCAGCTTACCACTTTTCTGTATTACAGTACCAATGGTGTTTCCTCCATCCAACAAGATTAAGTTAATCTCATTTAGGTTGTGGTTTAGGTTAGGGGGAATCGTTTGTTTGGTTGGTTGGTTGTTTCTAAGAGAGGGGAGCTGTGGTCAGTGGTGTAAAAATCCTCTGAGAACAGAGATTCTAGATTGAAATTCTGAATCACCAGCCCCTGAATTTGCAGTCAGTAGCATGTTCTAGAATTGCAATGCCTGGCATCTGTAACAATTCCCCAGTTAACTGAAGTCACCATCTCCACCTACTTTCTTTATAGGTAAAGTCCCCCAAAATTACCTTTCATGAGTTTTGTGGAAAACAGGCTTTTATAGATTCCTTCTGGCCATATGGCAAGCCTGAGGAAGCTCAGAGAGAATAAAGTCTTCCTTTGTCCAAACCTTCCCTAATTAAACTTGAAAGCTCTTACCAGCGGCAATGCTGTTTTGGAAAAAAGGCAAAAAATATAATGTCACATTTTCCTCTGTATGGCTACAAGTGTTTTTCCTTATTCTTCACGGTACAAGAGACTCACTGTACCAACATCTCAAGAAAATCATAAAATGAAAATTAAGTTGTCCATCTCTGTTGTCCTAAGGGACAAAGGATTGAAGACTTTAGATCTATTCAATATTGATATTAATTGACAATAAAGACTGCAACAAACAAATGCTGTCTGCCCTGTATGGGAGATACACATTACAAAAATTAGGTTCAGAATTCTAGTTTGGATTATATTATACTGCTTCTTAACTACGATCCAAGCTCTCTTTAAATTAACATCTGAGGAAGAATTCCTTCTAGAAGCAGGGATTCATAAGCATTCTTGATGAAACCGTAATACAAAGAAAACAAGGATTTTCCCGTCTGAATTTTTTTCTTTCCAAATTTGCTTTACCGATGACTGGTTAAGTATAATCATAGTTTTGGAGACATAAAAATGCATATTTATTTAAGAAAGATATTAAAATACAGTAACAGAAACTGATATAATTTCCTATTTTTTAAAAAAATGCATGCTGCCCTGATGCTTCAAGGTGTACCTGCTGCAGCATTTTGTCACAGACACTTTGAGGTATAACTTCTCCAGCATTGGCTTAAGCTTGGGCCACAATCTCTTCAGAGCTATAGCTGGTGAGGCACAGACATAAGCTACAGATGTTCTGAGATGTACCTGCTCTGGCATGGGCTTATCCAGAAACACAGACACTTTGGGGTGTCCTGCTCCCACATTGGCTCATCCTATCAGGTCACAGTCCTTTCAACCCTTGTTCACACTGGAGTTCCAGTACAGCAGCCCAGAAACAACAGTTAAACCCCGGCCATCTGCCAGCCCAGGCTGGCATGGCATCACCACGGCTATTAAAATGTTCCCAGCTATTTCATGGCTATTAAAATGCTACAGCAGAGTAAGCTGATCAGCAGTGTAGCACTACTACAGTAAGCAGTAAAAATAAAAAGTGACCACTGATGAGCAAGAGACACTGATATATAGTCAGGCAAGTAAGCCCCATGGCAGGCACAGAGGCCTGTTCAAAACAGCAATTGGCATAAAATAAACACAAATCCAATCTAGTGCATTCTAATCCAATCTCACATCCTCTTGAACCCTTCAAGCCCCATACTGTGCACCAAAAGGGACTGTCATGGTTTAACACCAGCTGGTAACTAAGCACCATGCAGTTACTCCCTCACTTCTCCTACCACTGGGATGGGGGCGAGAATCGAAGAGTAGAAGTGAGAAAAGTCATGTGTTTAGATAAAGACAATTTAATAGAGAAAGCAAAAGCCACATGCACAAGAGAAACAAAACAAGGAATTAATTCACTTCCTAGGGACAGGCAGGTGTTCAGCTATCCCCAGGAAAGCAGGGCTTGATTACTTGGGAAGACAAATGTCATCACTCCCAAATGTCTTCCCTTCATTCTTACCCCAGCTTCATATACTGAACATGATGCCATATGGGATGGAATATCTCTTTTGCCAGTGAGGATCAGCTGTCCCAACTGTGTCCCCTCCCAGCTTCTTGTGCAACCCCAGCTTCCTCACTGGAGGGATGGTGTGAAGAGCAGAAAAGGCCTTGACTCTGTGTAAGCACTGGTCAGCAATAACTAAAAAATCCCTATGTTACCAACACTGTTTCCAACCCAAATCCCAAACATAGCCCCATACTAGAAAAATGCTTTAGCTGAAAAAAGGCATGTCAATTCACTTACACACTACCTTTGTTTAAATAAATTGGGTTTTCTTTAAGGAATAAGGTGAAAACTAAGTCAGTTCACACTCAAGTTTTAACTATGGATAATTGTCATTAAGATTTCCATGTTTCTACTTGATCTCTGGGCTTAAGTATGATGTTATGAAGAATGTGTCCACTCATGGTCTTCACAGTCCAACGTAGGCATGTAGAATGTCTAACTGTAGTAATGAGTTATTGCAAGCAATTCTACCTTAAAAAAACTAAACAAATAAAAAACAAAACCCCACCATTTTCTTCCTTCTATACACCACACGATTGCTTGCCCTAGACACTGAAGGCATTTACTGATAATTGATTGATGACACAGTATCTATTTTTGCAATATTCTCTGGCTTGACAATGAATAGGAATACATGGCTAAATGCAAAAGAATAAGGTTTTTGTTTATTGATTTTGCAGATATTTGAGAGAATGCCATTGCCTTGTAACTGGCCCTGTTTTGGTAAAATGAATACACCTGTTAAATTAATTAACAGAGAATTTGTTGGTTTTTTGAATTGTGTTGCAATTTTCTATCTTGTTCCCAGGATGAAACTGTATGACTATTGCACTCAGCAGCCTTGGAAAAGTTTATTTCAATACATCTTCTTTTCCTGTTTGAAGAACTGTGCTTTGACTCCTAGGTTTTTAGAGTGGTGTTTCGTGGTTTGTTTTTTTTTTCCTCTTAAAAGCAAAGCTATCATAACACAGAGGGACACATTTGATCAAAGAAAGCCACCTTCCCCTTCAGAATAGGCTATCTGAAAAGCATATACCAAGTAGAACAGATTCTGACAGCATCTAGTGCTGTACTTGGCCCCTAATTATCAGTTTATTAATATTTTATCCATTTTACCAATTGGTCACAGGAAAAAAGGTAGTGGAAGGTACCAGATTGTGGTCAAATGCTAAACAGCCTTTTATGAAGCTTGTTATCAATTTTCAATTGTCAAGGTCAGTTTACAGGAGTAGGAGGCCCTCAGTTCTTGTTTGTCCAGTTAAATATGCGTCTCAGATACTCATAGGGCAAAAATTTAAGTGGGGTTTTCCCATAAGCAGTAATTTACTCTTGGGCAATGTGTTATCTCAGTGGTCACATTTTCTGTGATATTGAAAGAGTTCATAGTTAGCTATAGCTACCTGTCAGCTGCACCATAAATGAGAGATGGATTCTATTTTTCTAATCTTTTTCCTTGGCCACCTTAAAAGCACAACCTTAACAAAGAAGAGGAGATAGACAAAAGCTGTTCATATATTATATAAACTGTTTATAAGGCACTGAATTGCTCACATGAAAGGCACTACATAACTGCAAAGTGTCACCTATTTTTATAATATTAATGCATGCATGCCCTGCAAGTACACAATATTAACATGATGAAAGTATGAACCCCCCCACAGCTAAATCCTTAACTTTCCTGCTTTCTTTACATCTTTGTAAAGATTATAATTTTTACATCTCAGGTAAGGAAATACAGGTACTAGGAGAAGGACTTCGATGATCCTTATAGGTCCCTTCCACCTCAGGATAGTCTATGATTCTATGACTTATTCTTTTATTTTCCTAGGTTACAAGGAGTAGGTGGGCAAGGGAATTTCTTTTACTCCTTCTTTTACTTTGCGTGGGCTAGAAGGGCAAGCTTACAGCCTATTAAGTGAAGCACAATCCACTTAACAGAGTCCTATCAAACTGTAATGCTTGTTAGAAAGAACACACTTTCCAGATGAGTCTCAGAACCAATAAAACAAGCTCATTATTCACTGCTGTTTAATGATGTTTCTTCTATGTTTGGTCTGTTACAAGCTTTTCGTCTCTAGCTTTCTCTACATCCCTCAAAGTCCTGTCAGCTCTGATAGTTAAACTGAAGTTTAACATTTTCAGTCATCAGCTATGAATGTTTGCAGAGAAGTTCTATTTGTTCAATTTCATCATCCATGTCTTTAAAGGTAGATTTTATGTTGCCAAGAATGCATTTACAGAGTGTATTTCAGACATGACAAAGGTTTTTATTAGGAAAGAATTTTTAAAGCATCAAGTTTCAAATTGATAATTTTATTTATTTAATTTATATTTATAAAGCAATATATTATGTCTTAAAAAGATATGTGCTGCCTAAGTAGCATTATTAAAATGCTATAATTGCCCTTAGGAAACTTAAAACAATCCAAGATATGGTATTGCCTCCAGGAAAATGAGCAAACGTCAAAGAGGATAAAGTATGATATTAAATGGGATTTGGAATAGCACTTTATACCTGTTGAACACTGATAAGTAATGATGCCAGAATTACTGACTCTAAAGGCTTCTTTCTATGAAAAACCTCACTACTCTTCTCTTTTTCAGTACAAATAAGAGAGTCCTAAATCATGTAGTTTCATTCCCACCTCTGTTCTACTTAGCCTCTACATTTAGTTTTAATTTTCACAGATAAGTACTTTCAATTAGTCTGTGACAAGCAGATTGTTGATGTATTTCCTCATTGTCAGACTTTTTGGCTTTTGATCCTTTGCACAATACTGGAAAATCCCAGAGACAGCATATAAGATCTATACAAATAAATTCTGAAACATGAAGTAAAAGCAGCCTCTTGGAATACTGCCTCTGGCACTGATTCAGCACCACTTTTGTGGGAAACCTGTATTTTAAAACTACTTCAATTAAACTTTGTTTTGAAACTAAAAGTGTTTAACATGGACAAAGCTAGTGTAGTGAAACAGTTTTCTGAAGACATATGGTTCCACATTATTTGAAAGTTCATCCAAGTCTCGTCCAATTCATATGTAAATATAAGGCAAAAGTTCTTTATGTTTATTTCATTTTGCAGATAGCAGCATTGTTTTTATTAATTTACTTTTAAGCTTCTCATGTTAGCCATCAAGAATAGAATCAGTTAAAAATGTATTTTGATAGCATTTTCATCCAATCTTAGAATCTTTTTAAAAACACTAGTCAATCTGTTATTTATTTATAGACCATTAGCAAGGAACTTTAGATCTGCATTTTTTTACTGAGAGGCAAAAAAAAATGAAAGAATAAAGAATTGAACTGAGATGCTTTTAAACTTTCAGTAATGAAATCAGAAGAACCAAACCAAACCAAAGACACTGGCATTCACAAATAGACAGAGAAAAATAAAGT